AGGAGGGCACTTGTGGGGATGAGCACTGAGTGTTATGTGGAAACTAATTTGACAATAAACTATTTGTAAAAAAAAAAAAAAAAAAAAAAGAAAAGAAAAGAAATGGATGTGTCTTAGAGAAAAACTGAGCCCACTCCCAAAAAGAAAAAGTAAAATTAGAAGTAACTTTTCTTGGGGCACCATGGGCTCAGTCGGTTCAGTGCCCAACTCTTAATTTCACCTCAGGTTATGATCCCTGGGTCATGGGATCAAGCCCCCTCGGGCTCTGTGCTGAGCATGGAGCCTGCTTCAGATTCTCTTCCCTGCCCTTCTCGTGCAGGTGTACACTCTCTCTCTCAAAAAAAAAAAAAAAAAAAAAAAGTAACTTACTATATGCCAGTAAATTTTAATGTTTATTTATTTTGAGACACACAGAGAATACATCACTCTTGTGCAAGTGGGGGGGGGGGGGCAGACAAAGAGTGAGAGAGAGAATCTCAAGCAAGCTCTGCATTGTCAGTGAGGACTTGATCCCACTAACCTTGAGATTATGGCCTGAGCTGAAATCGAGAATGGAATGCTTAAACAACTGAGCCACCCAGGTGCCCTGCCAGTAATTTTTCTTAACAGAAAGATTTTATGTAGAAAACTCATAATCTGGAAAAATCCTCCCTTAGGACTGAGAAAATAACTGCTCCTCTAGAGTGTTGGACTTGGCATGGACAGCATTGATACACACACATTAGACTACAGATCTTTCCCCACTCCTAACAAAAAAAAGTAAAAATAGAAATGCTTTTAAAATTGTGCCAACAGAATACTAAAACGCAAGAGATGGTAGTAAGATACATATTGGAATCATTTTTCCGAAGGTGATATATATTAAACATAAAAATCTGAAATACAGAAATATTACAAACGTATAGGGAAACAGGCTGAAAATATAGAATAAGCGAGTGTCTAAATGAAACTGTTAAGTCTCTAAAAATAATGAGAATAAAGCCTAACATGACCCAGAATGTGTGTGTGTGTGTGTTTTTTTTAATGTTTTATTTATTTCTGAGAGAGAGACAGCGTGAGCAGGGGAGAATCAGAGAAAGAGGGAGATACAGAATCTGAAACAGGCTCCAGGCTCTGAGCTGGCAGTCAGCACAGAGCCCAACATGGGGCTCGAACCCACGAACCGTGAGATCATGACCTGAGCCGAAGTCGGAGACTTAACTGACTGAGCCACCCAGGCACCTCTGGAATGTGTTTCTTTAATGGTAGCCATCTACGACTCCCATGTAGAAAGCCCAAGAAATCTCAGGACAGGCTGTATTTAAATTTGGAAGTTTATAGTTTTTAATCAGATTTTAAAACAGGTTTATAACCCAAAGTATATTGAGATTCATAGCTTAAAGACAGCTTTCAGTGGTTGTTACTGAAGTTATCATTGCTCAAGGGTGACAGAATTCTTTGGAAATCTATGGAAAACTATGGACTTTCTCCCAGAGAAATGCACACATATATAGCTACCTACAATTTTGAGAGAGTCTACAAACCCCTAAACCCCACTCAAGGACCTCATACAAAGCTAAGGTTTCCTGCTTTCGTTTGTTTACAGTAATTGTAAGGATTCCAGAAGTGTCTGGATGGCTCGGTAGGATAAGCATCCAACTCTTGATTTCGGCTCAGGTCATAATCCTGCGATTGGTGAGTTCTAGCCCTGCATCAGGCTTTGTGCAGATGGCACAGAGCCTTCTTGGGATT